TATTGTATTTACTTGAATTGTCAGCTCCAAATTTCTACAGCATAATAATGAAACCCATTATGTTTCTAAATCTGTGTAATAAGTTATTGCAGAAGAATGTAGAGTTGTAAAAACAAACGTGCCAGAGATCATTTAAGGACAGTCTTCAATGATTATTTGCATTTTGACAATTTTCACTTCTCAAACAAAATGCAATTTCTGACACTAAGTTCTGGATACATAATGTTTAAAAGATGTTCAAAAGAACCTTCTAAGAAATGTACAGTCTGGAGTAATTCAGTTAAATCTTGTATGTTTTAAATAATTATTTTGGTTGTGTGTATTTAAAAATTTTCTATCCAAACATTTATAACGTTTTTAGATAATTAAGGACATAAAACAACTTTACAGTTACAGTGGAAATAAGAATAATTTGCTTGTACTAGTAGTTCTGTGTCGGATATTATTACCGTTACTAAATTGTGTGTATATAGGAAGTGATGTATAATATATATCACACACACGCACATATATATACAAGAGAGTTCAGGAAGAAATAAAATTTTCTCTACTACATTAACTTTCTAAGCCTCTAACCCATTTGGATTAGTGATCATAGTATGTAATTATCTCAGGGCTATTCACACTGTATTTTTTTTTCAAGACTTACCTGCCACAAATGCACTACAGAAGCATTAAAATATTCAAAATCTAAATAATAAGATTAAATATTGTGAGGATAACATACATATATATCAAAAGATGATTTGAATTGTTACGATATTGCAATTGTAGAGTATTTAAAACAAAAAACTGAGCAGTGTACTAATGAGGAAAAAATTAATTTTCTGATTAGTTTTTAAATTACTTCTCTTTTTTTTTGTTTTTGGAAAGAAAAATTGAGCATGTCAAACTAGAGAAATATATATCTCAGTTTTGCTGTCAAAAAGTAACAAAAAAGTTAAAAATATAAAACATACTCAATATTTTTAAGCTGCTAATCTATTCAGACTTATATGTTGTGTCAATAACAAGCCTGAATGTGTTTCTTACTTGCCTCAGGATATCGGGCTAGCATTAATGTCAAGCCTTGTATCATAAATTGGATATTGGTTAATTACTAAATATAAACAGGTTGATATCCATTTGCTGCATAAAAAAGTTCTTCTGAAACATTTATAGATAAATAACTCTGCCAGTACCAAATTTATTTTTAGATAAATACAGAAAGATATGTGGTTTTGTATAATTATTTATAACTCACTTATTACTTGTTATATCAACATGATTTTTAGATGTAATTGTCTGAAATATTTGACAGATAATTATGTTCTTCAATTATAACAAGTATTAAATAAAATAATAATTCACACATTTTTTTCCAAAATTTGCAAATTAATATGCATCATCTAGGATTTTTTTCAATTATTATTGATTTTAATGCATATCCCTGTTTTTCAAAACATTTACATAATATTATACTTTTTTAAAGCAAAAACTTATGTTGTGTGTCCCTATATATGTGCTTATTACCAGGGGTATCACAAGGCCCAAGCCTTGGATATATTTCATAGTGCCCTGAATCGTCTTTTAAGACTGTAATATATTACATTGCAATTATGCTTTAAGCATTTTAAGTAGTAGTTGCTTTTTGGTGTCCTAACCCTGAATCTTCTCATTAGCTTGTGACATCCCTGCTGGTAACAGTGCTGTATAGGGGATGTGCATGTGCACATGGCAGTGAAAGAGTTAAGCCATAACACCTTCAGCTGAAAAGTTTAGATGATAGGTTTTCCTGTCCCACTTATGGTCTTGAACTAGCACTCTGTGACTCACTTTTTTTGTTGTTGTTGCTCTCAAGAACGATCTGCACGGACAATACTTCCAGAAAGCAAATGTCTTTAGGACAGTTATACACCATTGTATTTGTAATATCACATCGATATTTTGCTGAATTTTTATGATGGAGTGCAAATTCCATTAGAGGAAATGCATCTTTGCAGAAATTAAGTAAAAATAAAGTGTTGGATGATTTCTCACATTCTCAGCACCATAGGTGAATATATAATATGTTTGTTGGCTTAAACCTTATATGGTTGGCCTATAGGAAATATAATCCAATTTCTTTATGAACATACATAATGTTTAATAGTTACTTAATATTATACTTTTTATTTACAAACTCTAGTCTTAAGTTTCACTGCCTTTTTTTCATATAAATTGAATGAGTTTTGAAACACAGAAGTAGGCTCTTTATTTTAATTTGATTGATGGTTCCCTGGCTTCAAACGTTTGTAACTTTTAACCATACATGTACACATATACAAGTAAAATAAAGAACTATCATTACTGTTCGGAGCACAAAACTGTGTGATATTAAAATAAAACTGGATATAGGAATAGTTTTAGTTCTTTATTTAGTTGAAAGAAAAAGAAGATCAAAACTAGCTGTCTACAACTTACTACACAAGTAATGACTAACAACCATGTTATGTAGTAGTAGTAGGGTTCAGGAGATGGGGGTGTACCATGGGCAAATCACTAAGGCCACGCCTTTGGGGGGCCCAGACTTAAGCAAATATTTTCCACACACACATACAATACTGAAAAGTCCTCCTCCTCTCAAAAAAGTAGCATTTATATGCTAATGCTGCATTTTGGTGAGTCGTGTAAGGGGAAAAATTAATATACATGATTGAGGGGAGGGCAGGGGGTAAGAGAGAATGAGGAGAAGCACCAGGGCCCAAGATTTCTTTCCCATGCTCCGAGCAGAAGTGTTGATTTCACTTTAATTCTAGAATTACAAATGGGTCCATTGGGCCTCATTGGCTTTATAAGTACATTTTTCTAAACTTTGTATTCATCAAGTTGTCTGTGGATACATAAGTTGTTTTTTTCCAAAATCTCTAATATGAGTCATACATGAATAATGTAAACAAACGTACCACCAACATCAAAGTTAATCCCAGGAATTATTGCTGGAGTACCATATGTATTTTGCATACAATATTAGCCTTTTGTTTTGGCTTTACACTGAATGATGTAAGAGGAAAAAACACAAAATTACTCAATGTGATACAATATTTGGACCCATGGGTAATGAATGCTATAAAATAGGATAGTAATTTAAGGGCTAACACAGAGGAAAATATCAGCTGCAGACTCAAAGTGTAAAGTATGAGAACAAGGCTTGGAAATAATACTGTCAAATTCTGCTTTATGTTGCAGTTTTACTAGTAAATCTTAGAAGGCACTAGAAAAAAATTTTTAGTACTTATTTCAGGGGTAATATTCACAGATTTTTACTGTTGGGTATCAGTACACTCGTGATACGTGCATTTCAGTTACTTATATTGTCATATTCTTAGTACAGAAGGTTACTATAACTGTAATTAACAAGATTATTTCACATGCCTCATTTGAGCTGCATGACATACCCAGGTTAAGTATCAGAAAATGGGAATAGCTAGTCTGCAACATCAGCTAATTTGATTGGTTACCAAAGCAATCAGGACTTGGGCCAGCTGGCTAGACTTACTCCATCCAGCCTTTGTATTAGAATTTTGCTAGCAGTGTGATTAGAAATACTGTGCTCAACTCGTTACTCATTGGAAGTAATAATAAAATTGAAATAATATAAACTGCAGATGTTTTTTTTAACACATTTGTCTTAATTTGTCAGTGATTAGGCCTGTTGGCTTTTAACTTTTTTGGCAGCATTTCTGCATTTAAACCATAAATTTTAATAAGTTTAGTGTTAGGTGGCCATCAGCAGTGTGAAAGTATAGACTTTTTTTTCAGGTGCTCATGGCCTAAATACACCAGTTTCCACCAAAATTGGCATCTTTTAACTTTTATGAAATAGTTAAAATAAAACACTTACATGTAATTAAAATAAATTTGATGTTCAAAAATATTTAAAAAGGAAACAACATAGAAGATTTATGCATATGAATAGAATAAATATATTAACACTGAATACATAAAATAATTAATTATGACACAGTTACAGTCCCAAATTTGCTAGATGTTAAAAAGTCACTAAAAATCATTTGCTGTTGCCTTCAAAAGTTAAGGTTGAGACCTAGTGAATCAAATAATTTGATTGATAAGGGGTGATTGTGTATTAGATGCATTCCAATACTGGATTAATAATACTTAAGACAGTAGGTATACTTTGTATGAAAATTAAAGCACTAGAGAGACGTTTGTTTAGTGTGTCATACAATATTACTGTGCAGTCATGTATTCCAGTTTGTATCTTTTTCAAAGTGGGAAAATTAGTTTTAATATGATTCAAAGTGAGTACCAAACTGACCCAACTCTACATCTTGGTGTAGTCTAATCTTTCCCATGATGTATACTCTATAAATGTGTTGAATGTATGTCAGGATAGATCTATATCTTCTTCCTGTGATATAGAATTTGTGTGGAATTTAGTATGTTTACAAGTTCCAAATCATGATGATGATGATTTTTTGCTTGATGTCTAAAGTGATATATTAGCATATGGTTTTGTCTTATGTTAATTATTTCCCTGAAATATGTGTATATCAAAAATTAAATTTAAAAAAGATTCAAATCAAAATAATTTTCAAAGCCTTAACTTTGGAATTCTTATATAATTGAAATGGGAAAATTTGAAAATAAAGGTATTTAAATAAAATTACACCTTCTAGGAAGTAGTTAATCAATGAAAATATACAATTGTAAGGGGTTCAGAAAGAAACAACATTTTCTCTCCCTTAATCTATCTTATTTATTTCCCTAAAACACGTGTATAACAGAAATAACAAACATATGCTTGTGAGGGCAAAATACATTAAACAGCTGTACATTGGAAAGGTGTGGTAACACTTATCTACAGATGTTCTGCAGCATTATCATGCCATACTGCTTATGACATAACAACTTCAACTGAGAAGTTTGGTAGACTTAAATTAATAAAAGAATATCGGATAGATGTTTCATTTCAAAATTAATAAAGAAAATCTTTTATTTGCAATTCTTTTTTTTTATGAAAAAAATTTCTGTTGTACATAGGACATGATGTAGTTTACATATAACTCATTTTAAGTAAATACAAATTAATTTGTTTGCTGTAATATTATAGACCAGGGTTTCCTGAAGTGTGAGTCATGATCCCAGTGGTGTCATGGAAGGTTCGAATAGGGTCGCATGCACTCTGGAAAATATTTTTTGCAAACGTTAAAAGAAAAAACATTTTGATATTTTATTACACTTTATGTAATAAAAAGAAAATAAATACAATTATGACAATTCTCATAAAGCATCACATTTTAATATCTCTGTAAACCAGGATTTTCCTTACTTGTGCAATACAAGATAAAAGAATGTAATCTTCTGAACGATGTGGAAACAGAACTACAACTATGGATAATAATGTACAACTTTACTTCCTGAAACAAATGCATTGCTTACATTAAAAGTGTTAAGTCACAGTTCTCTTTCCACAAGTTTCAGCCAACATAATGATTTTTTTACAATTTAGTAGTTAGTGTGTTTGCATATCCCAATCCATTTTATTAATAGAAAATTATTACAATTTCTCAAAGAATTTTTAATGTAAGGTCATGGCAAAGATGATATTTTTGGGCAAAGGGTCGTGCCACCAGACAGTTTGGAAACCACTTTCCTAGATAAATTTTCCAAAGCACGTGCATAGTAACTATTTTGATGTGTAAAATGAGAATTTTCAGTTCACAACATAAATAATTCTGTTTATTTTTCATCTTAAACATTCTTGGTCCTGTACAACATTTGTAGATATGTACATGTATATTAGCATCTAGAAAGTACAAGTAGCTGGTAATATTGTAGATTTAGCTATTTATGTCATATATTAGTGGTCCCTGCTTCAGCAATTCAAATGGCAGCATCTTCTCAAGATGATGGGCTTCAAGGGATACAAACTCTCAGCATGGCAAGCACAGGGAGTGGATCCACGGGAACTATTCTGCAATATACTCAAGGTCCAGATGGTCAGCTCTATGTACCAGGTCAGTAGCTAAATTGATAATTTCTTTCATGATAAAATGCATTCTTTCTTCCCTTTACCTCCACCCTACCATTCACTAAGTTATTGGGTAGCTTGGTAATTTTCTGCTTGCTATTAAATGCCTTACTGTTAGTTAATAGGGTGGATTGTTTTGCTCTCCATCAGTTTTCAGATTATTAGTAATTTTATTTGTTTTTTCTTCCTATATATCTTGCCACATTGTCAGTTAGCTTAGTAAATTGTAAACATTGTTTATCTCTGTACAAGTTGTCAACTTGGTAAATGTTTTTCTCTGTATCAGTTGCCAGATTGTTAGTTATTTCTTTTTCATATGAGTTATAAATGTTCATTTGATTTAGTGTTAATGTTCAATTAAACTTCTTTCCCACTATTAATTGGCAGATGTTTAATGTGTTTGGTGAAAGGTCTGTCCTTCTGTTGGATGCCAAATGTTCAGTTAATGTTTATAGAAAATTAATAAAACCAAAGGAAATCATGTGAGAATAACTTCTTGTATTGCACATTTTATAAAATTTGACACTCGTATGCATTAAATGTTACCAGGTGTGTCTAGTGAAATATCATAGGAGTGAGGTAAAGAATGAAAGGTCACATTTTCACATCTGGTTTGTTTGTAGTTAAGCTACACAATGAGTTATCTGTGCCTTGGTGCTGTGCCCACTACGGGTATCGAAACCTGATTTCTAGCATTATAAGTCAGCAGACATAATACTATGCCACTGGGGGATTTCACACCTGGAATGAAAGAGGGTGGACTTAAAAAACCAGTTAAAAACTGCTGGACCACACTATTGGCATTTTCTAACCATGTATTTTTTGCAGTCTCAAAAGTTATTTACATTATATTACCTTTTATGTGTTTGAATATCATTCATATACAGTGTGAGTCAAAAGTCCTGATTTTCTCTATTGTTGTGAATTAGTGTGGAATATCTAAAATCTGTTGATGAAATGATGTCAAGGTCAGTTAAATGCTATCTCTGAAACTATCAGTCTGAGGTAAAATGTGTCAAAATAAAAGTTGTAGCACACAATGTTACTGTCTCAGAAACATTATTTTCCTTATGGGTTTCATATAAATTTGCATAATTTTTTAAATTGAAAATATTTTGCTTTAATACCAAGTGAATTATAAATTTATGCAAACCAACATATACCAAATTCCCTAAAGGCCATATCAAGTAACAAGTGGCTTCCACTTTGCCTAAATACCCTTTGTCAGCAGATTGTTGATATTCCACAACTTCTATTGACTCACTTAGTACATGTGTTTGTTTAAATGTATGTGTGTGTGTGTGTGTGTATGTAAATGTATTTTTTATTTTAAATTAATATTTGAATTTCCAGTTAACCACTTTTCATAAGTTTATTTTCTTAATGCAGTTATTTTCTAAATTGGTTTTTGATACTACATTTTTATATTGCATTTCTTCTATGTTATCTTGCAGTTTAATATTATGCTTTGCCACTTTGATGCTTTTCAGTCTGCACTACAATTTCTTGTTTTTAAAATTTGTTGAATTTTTTCTTCTGGTAAAGAAGAAACTTCTGTTCAGAAGCATTCAGTCTTCAACATCTTTTTTTTTATTTTTACTTTTAATAATTCTCCCACAATACTGATTGAAATTAAAATTATTACAATTCTTACATTATTCAGTTTCTGTTTCCGGGATGGACCTTCAAACTTATCAGATTAGGGCTGCACCAAGTAGTCCTACATCTGGACTTTCACAAGGTGTAGTTATGGCAACAGCTTCTTCTGTCAAATCTCAAGAACAACATGCAGAAGAACTATCTCGAAAAAGAGAATTAAGACTTTTGAAAAACAGGTAAGATTAAAAAAGAAAAGATATTTTCTCTTAGTTAGAAATGAGCCTATTTAATTTTATTACCATTTGTGATAAAGGTAGGGTTTATTGATTTTTAAACAAGAGGTCTTTCAAAGTCAATTAGTAAAATATAGTGCTGATGCAGACCAATGGTCAAAAGTAACTATTGATTTAAAAACAATTGATGAAACCCTGTGAGGAGTTATTTGTCAAACATATGAGCACATGTGACATAATCAAGATCAATACAAAGTTTCCACCACACTTATATTCTAAATTTGTATTCATAGTCTTGCACCAGAAACACTGGAATCAGTTTTCAGTCATCAGGCTAGGTCACAAGTTCTCTACTACTATAATAGATAACAACAGTCAGGTTACATATAATTGTACTACTGGCATACAGATATATCTGTTTTGGATACTTGCCTGCATGTTTTTAATTTTTCAATTGTGTGTGAATGAGTCAATATTTTAAAAATAAAAATAACCAATTTCATGTTTGTGATGTGCTTTAATGTGTAATGTTTCTGTTTGCAGATTTAGATCTTGCTAAATTACATTAAGTAACTTGCTGGGGGTAGTTGTGACAGGTATGAAATTTCAAACATTTTAACTTCTGGTGAGCCTATTAATACAAAGTGAATCATATTTATATTTTCTAACCAAACCCATAAACCACACTGTAGTTTATTTAATCCATTTTTGTAAGGAATGTAAAGTAAAAACTTCAGCTTGTCAGTTACTAACACACACTTGTTTTCAAAATAAGGTCATTGGAAAAGAATATTTTATCAGAAAGTATATAGAATAATTTTAAATCTGAACGCACTCTGAAATCCTTATGCGTACATCTTCTTCATTGAGCAGTATATAACATAATGCATGTCATGTACACTTGTAATGTTAAAACATTCTTAGAAGGAATTATTTTTGAATAAATTTATCGAGATGTACCTAGAGGCACAGTATTGACTCCACCTTAATTAGAAAGATAACATAATACTACCATGTCCATATAAAGGCCTGAACCTTCAGCCAGATCTGGGGTTTTGCCACAGCTCTTCAAAATGCTGTACTGCCACTGTTCTTATGTTTTGAAATAAAACTAAACACCTTCGCATCACATTTAAAATGGCAGATTGATCTGTTTTAGATTAAAAGAAATAAAAAATCAAAAAGTAGTAAAGTTATTGCTGCTCTTATCCTTGTTGAAGTGGTAAAGCATATAGTAAACAAAGGAAGACTGGCAGAAAAAAAATCCACTGGTAGATATTGATGTGAACTAGGATTTGGCAACTGTAGCACATATAGTAAGATTTTTTTTTATAATATTAATATTGAAACTGCTCTACACTGAGTTAAAAGAGATCACATGAGGGCCTACTAGGATGTGGAGACTTGAATTGGGGAATGCTGTAGTGGTCTAAAAGACATCAGTGTTGGTAGTTTCCCCTGAAACTTGGATGGACTCTTACTTTTAATTAATGCTGAAATACTACACCATTTTAAGAGGTATAACTATTCTTTTTTAACCCCCGAAGAAGAAAAATCAACTATTTGAAAGCTCTTGAGTTTTAGGTGATTCTTTGTACTAACTCTTCCATCATATTAAAACTCTTTCGACATGGGCTCGGTCCCTGGGACTGAGTCACGTGACCTTCTGTACTTGTTTAAAGTTGACATAAATTTAATACTTATAACTCTATATTGGGTATATCTTCACGAACTTTGGCAGTCTTTCTGTTAATATTACAAGTCTTTCACATACAAAAAGTCATATTTCTTAGTGAAGTACTTTTAATAAAATAAAATAAAGTTTAGTCCATGAATATATTGAGTATTTGTTTTGAATAGTGTGTGTGCAAAGTGATTTTCATGTTAAAATTAGAAATACTTTTCGCCATCTCAAAATGCCTTTGAGTAATCCCTAAAACCTCCTAAATGCATTTCAAACGTTTTTTTTTACTAAATCTCTAGTTTATATGTTATTTTATCTACCCTAATCTCAAAACGGGATTGGTCAATTCGACCGACCTCGTAACCACCCCAAAAAATCGAAATAAACCTAAATTAACCTTCTTTTCTTTCTAGTGTGACTTTAAATTGTAACTACATTCGTTTATCCTAAGTAACTCTAAGTTGGTAACATTATACATGTATTTATGATTAAATTTTACTGTTTTATTGCCCTTTGAACCGTGTCTATCTGATAGCCATGCCATCATAAGTTGTAAATCACTCGGGGAATGTGCAGCTCACATTACGCTATCGAATTACTTCACCCACGAGCTGCTCGCGTGCATGCTACATGAACATGCTTACAATTTTAATTATATTATTATTATTACTTATTTTACCTATTCTAGTCTTAAATAACTTTAAAAGATCCGTACTTTTAATTTTAGTTGCTTTTATAATAATAAATAAAGAATAAATATGAAAAACAAGAAATAAAGAACTTACCCAATCTTTTTCTTGCCCTTGATTGTGGATGAGAGTTAAGCCTGATTTTTGTTTAGTGATTATAGTAAAGCACTTAAAATTTTTCATTTAATTAAATAATACACCAAAGAATATATACTACTAACATGCAAAAAGTAGACAAATTCACTTACTTCTAGAAATTTCCCTGGCTTTCTAATTATGTGACAAGAGCCATTAGAAATTCATCCAATCTAGTCATTAACTTTCCCATGGGAACGCTGTTGCTACTCAGAGTAACTTTGACGGTTATTTGTTCAAAACACAATGTTATACAATACACCATTTTATAGATGAAAACCTTGACTTTTTATTGGTTAATATATAATGAAACGTAAGAGAGAACTATCAACCAATTGTGAAAGAGAGGATGTGATAGGTGGGTGTGGCAGGAGGGGTCTGATTTTCTCTTTGATAGCTCTGTAACAAAACAAAATTGAAGACCATAAAAATTATGGGCTGTTTGAGCAATAACGATTTTATAGAGAGCATTTTACGTTTAATTTCGTACATTTTCGAGGGGTGATGGATAAAATAGGGATGATGACATGCTAAGACAAAATTTGTCATGTGTGTTACACTAGTGGAAATTCAGGATTTTTTTATGTATTTCCTTTTAGAATTAAGAACTTAAAACTTGAATACTATTAAGATATGGATTATTAGCTAAGATTTTATGCTATTCTAATTGGTATAATATAAACAGAAAGTAGTTTAATAAAATTTTAAAAGTAAGACACTAAAACCTTGTGTCATGCACAGTAAAGGGTATCCGTGCTGATAGGGAAAATGTATCATATTTGTTATAAAAGAAATATGCATTCAAAGAGTGGTAATAAATATTGCTGTTTTTATCATTTTCCTTCTTGCTATTTTATAGTATCATAGTCTGAGCTCTTAAATGGACTAACTTATGGAATAAAAACTTTTTAATGAAAAGCAGTAAACATTTTTGAAAAGAGAAAACAATTGTTGCAATTAGTCTAATAGAGTTTATAAATGAACATAAACTATTAGTTTAATGTAAATACACCAACAAGCCACTGTATAAGGAACCCCCTTCATAATTATAGAATATTGTATGTACTTGGTCTCATTTTTGTTAGAAGTGGAACAAATAGCAACATGAATATAAAAGGGATCCAGTTTTCCCAAACTATTTTTTTGTTTAAATTATATGCTTTTACATTACATCTCCACAGATTTTTGCTCCTTTTGTATAACTTTTTTTTTTATCACACCTTTATGTGGCTTACCCTATTATTCTAACTTACTGTTTTTGTAGAAAATAAAATGTTTTGGTCAGATTTCTTCTACTCTATACTCCTCTACCGAACTATCACTTCTTGTTTGGCAGCATTTGTGTTTGGACTTGCTTCTTCTTTGTTTACAGATTCACGTTCAGCTTAAGTTTCCTCACAAAGTGGTTTTCTTTAATTGATTTAGTTTTTATTCACACAGTTTTTTTCACTTTCAAAATTTTTATCTGTTAGTTCCAGTCGCATTACTCTTTTCCACTGCTCACATTTGGTGGACTCTTCTTCACAATGAATTCTGAAGCTCATGGTACCACTTTGTGGGTCACATCAGTGACTAACTTTCTTTCTCAGGCCTCAGGTGTGGTCGACCCAATGGTAGATTTATCTGCCAGGAGATTGAACATTACATAGGCCAGCCTTTGTTCCTAGACCTTGCCCTGGTTACTCCCAAAAAGGTGGAACCTGTTCAGACTGACAAGGGGTTGGATCATTTATTTCCACCTGCTGGTTTTGCCATACCTTCCCATCCCCCACCAGAGGAATTAGTTAGGCCTAACTCAGTCTTTTTGGATTTTGTTTCTCAGGTATGTGACATTTTATCCTTTTCTCCTATTTCTTATGAGCTACGTCCTTCATTACTACATGACCAATCTTCCCATCCCTCTTTGGTTTTTTCCCCTGATGTTCGGGTTCATGCTGATCAATTTGCCTCACAATTAAGTGATGGGATTAGCATGCCTTGTCCCCACCTGTGGCCATTCTTCAGGCTCCAGTGTGACTCTGACTGGTAAGTTTCTATTCATACTTTCTTTTCTTTTCAGAGGCCTTTTTTTTTCATTCTTGGAGCCTTCATTATATGGATCCCGCTCTGTGGTGAGTGGTGCCCGACAATGTATTCTTTAACTTGAAATCCGCACTGTACAGCCATGTTGACTTGTCCTTTATATTCCATGGCTTTGCAATGCTCACCATTGAGATGGGGTGTTCCAAAAGATTGCTTATAGGTGAATAACTTTGCAATATTTTGTTTCATAAACATGCATGTTCTAGACCGTACCACCCATGGGCTGCATGGGTAAAGCAGAAAGGGATAGCTGCCCATCCCTGCCATGCCTGTAGCGAAAAGCTCTGTATTATATGTTTTTCAAAATAGGGTTTCATGGTTACCCATTGCACTGGCTCAGGTTATGACATTCCTCTGGACTCTCCACCACCTTTTCACCCTTCTTTCGTCTAGTGGAGTATGGGAGTCCTTACCACTTTCCAGTTCCAAGCCACTGGGTTGGTTGACCATGGAGGCACCCTCCTGAATGGGTTCCACACAAAGATGACTATAACCATTCAGTGCAGACTAGGGTGGTGGTGGTGGTGTTCTGCAGGAGTAGATGATGTACTGTCCTCCTCTTTGCATATATAATACTAGCTGTGTACCCGTTATACACATAGGGGTTGTGTGTATAAATAATACATTCATTTAACAATTAACAAACAAATTACTTGTACATTATTTACATTACATTTTACATTTTTTATTGTACATTATTATAACAATTAAATATAAGTTAACAAAAGATACTGTGGACCATGTGTTAACTGAGTCACTTAGAAAAAACGGAAAATGTCAAATTGTGATGAGTTGTACTTGTGTGTTTGTAGTGTATCACACATCTGTGAAATTATTAGTTTTATTTACCGAAGAGCCTCTTGATAGACGACATTGGAAGTACGTCCACCTGGGGCATGGATAAATAGGCTGCAAGAAGATCTGACTCTTGAGCAGGTTACATATAGTTTTTAAACTCCAAGGATAGTGTTCATAAAAAAGAAAAAAATATAAGAAAGAACGCAGTTCGCGAGTCAAGCGCAAAAGAGCAATGCCGAGTGGACGGGCAAGCGACCCTTAGCAAAGAAATACTTCTTTTAAAGAAATAGAACCTTAAAAGCAAAAGAAATG